TGGTAACCTCCACATTTCCTCACAGAGGTGCTCTAAGGATTAAATTATTAATATCTGCGAAGGGCTGTGAAGATGAAAAGCATGAGTACTAAATATCACCGAGATGAATTGTCCATATAGAAAAAAAATGTAATTCTGCATAAAAGAGAAGCAGATGTTTATTTCAACTCATTAAACTTTCTCGTACCTTTTGAAGATCTTTCTAAAAAAATTGAAGGAATACATGGGGACTTCTTTGGGTGTGTAGACATATATGTACCTACATATGTATATATAACAGCTATATTTGTCATAATTTTTATTTTGTGGCTCCAACTGTCTCAAGTTTAGAAAATGATCAGCCAACACAAATACCTCATTCTATAGTCTAGCCCCTGACCACTTTCCTTGTTATGTTATCCATTACGTTGTGTGTTCTTTCTCTCCAGCAGTCTGAACAGATGCTTTTTGTGGTGAGATGTTTTAGGCACATGCATGTATTCCTCTGCTGCTGCTTTTTTCTTTTTATAATTATCACCTGTTTGTCCTTATTATCTTTTCTTTCTCCCCTTGTCTCTTCTCCAAACCTCACTCTCACATAACCCCAGCACTGAGTATGTGGAACGCTTCAACCCTAATGTCCTGAAGGACTCTGCCCTGTCTACACACAAGCCCATTGAGGTGAAAGGCCCAGGTGGCAAGGCCACTATAATTCATGCCCAGTATAACACCCCGATCAGCATGTATTCCCAGGATGCTATCATGGATGCCATCGCTGGCCAGGCACAGGCCCAAGGTGGTGAACTTGCTGGGTAAGGTTTTTTCTTGTGTAAAATGGCACCTCTCTGCATGATAGATGAATCCTTCCTCTCATCCTTTTTTCTCCCTTGCTTATTTGTTTGGATTTGGGGGGGAAGGAGGAAGTAGCTTTATGCACTGCCCTGAAAAATACAGATTGGTGTTTTCTTTAAATATATGAGGTGGAATTAACATCCTTTGAAAGATAAAAGGAGGAGGGGTGTTTAAAGTAGAAAAATTCCTTTTTCAGTATTCTTCCTAGATTTGGAAGCTCTAATGACTTGGAGAAATACAACATGGTTATATAGAGAGGTTTCTGTCTGTAAAACTAAATGATTCTTCCTTGGTAGCAGGAGACATTCTGAGGTGAGGGATGAGCTGTAGTCATAAAAAAACAAACCCAAAAAATCCTGCCACTAGCTATTTCCAAATACCCCCATTAATTGGGTGGCTTTTTCACGTCAGGCCAGATTATGCTACTGTTACTCACACTAGGTAAATGAGACTACTCACAGACTAAGGCACTGTTCACTGAGAGTAATGGTGGTGGAATCAGGCCAGTTTATGTATGGTACTTGAAGCAAAAAAGGAAAGGCATTTTGACTCTCTCAATCTGTTCCATGGTTACCCTTGGTGACAGATGCTTTGTCAGGTAAGTTAAGTCCCAGTTTTGACCTATGAAAAAATTGTTAGAAATTACTGGGGGCATATCTTGCCCTTAGCCTGTCCATTCATTTCCCTCTGATATGGTTGTGGGTTCCACACATGGAATGGAAACTGAATATACTTTACTTTTCAGTATTGAGAAACTGGAAAGTATGCAAACTTGATACGGAAAGAAATTTTTTAAGCTTCTAAAATGGTATTACAAAAATGGAGACTAAAAATATTATTAGTAAGAAAATTGGTAGCACTTTTTAAAAGGTGATGTGCAAACTGTTAAGTTAATCTCCGTGGTTTGAATATTGCTCCCAGCTACTTGGGTGTAAATCCAGAGTAATTCCACTGACTTCAGTAAAGTTCTCCTGGTTTTACATTGGTATAAGTGACAGCAGATCATGGGTTTTGTTTAATTTTTTTATTATATCCGTCATCAAGCTCAGAGAAACAGATTGCTGCTAAAACATAAGGGCTGAGGTTACTCAAGTAGAATATTGCTATCAGCATGTTAATAAAGAGCAACTTGGTACGTTTCACCTGGAGAAAAGGCTTGTGGAATTGGAAATATGGATAGTTATTGTCTTAGTTATGCCTATTATAACAACCATACTTTCAGTCTAATAACTGCATTGATTACATAGCACAACAGGCATGGAAAATGGAGGAGCATTTGTCATTGGTATAAAAAGAATGTAAGATGCATATTTATTATTGGTTATTGTTTGATGTTTTTCAAAATGAAGCCCTAGGTTATGTTATCCCTCTTGGGGATTTATATTTAACAACTGCTGTTTAACTGAAACCTCTAACTTAGGATAAACAGGAGCTTGTATATTTCACCGATGAGAAGATATTTAAGCTAAAAATGATGTTTCTGCAATACTGTATGCATCACTAAAAAGTAATAATTTCTCCCAACTGCTGATTTAAACCAGAGTGGGGTGATTATGACTCCTCTCTTTTGTTGTCTTTAGCAGACAGATAGCGGTTTGTGTATAAAGAAAGTCGGGAAGACAGACAAGATACTCTGTTGATCCAAATACACATTTTTCACTTTTGCAGTGCTGCACAGTATAACCAGTGATGAGCTGCCAAAATCTTAACAACGGGTTCCCTCCTCACCCCATGAGGGGGTTGTTGCTCACCCCCACCCCCAGGGACTCGTGCCCCATCTAACCCCCCTGCGTTCCTTGATGCCCCCCCTTCCACAGGACCTCTGCCCCATCTACCCCCTCCCATGTCCCCTGACTGCCCCCAGAACTGGGCAGGAGGGTCTTGTGGGCCACCGTAGTGGGTGCCCACCCCACCCCTAAGAGCCAGAGGCACCTGCCGTGGGGCGAGGTGGGGAGTCCCAGAGGTGCTTACCTGGGGCAGCTCCCTGGAAGCATCCTGCAGGTCCCTCTGGCTCCTAGGGGTCGGGGAGCGTAGCTGGGGGGGATCAGCGGGAGCGGCCGCTCCCCCACTGATCACATCAAAAGTGGTGCCTTAGGCACCAACTCCCTGGGTGCTCCAGGGCTGGAGTACCCAAGGGGAAAATTTGTTGGGTGCAGAGCACCCACTGGTAGCTCCCCTCCCTGCGCCCGGTCCCAGCTCACCTCACCTCGGCTCTGCCTCCGCCCCTGAATACATCGCCCCACTCTGCTTCTCCGCCCCTTCCCCCGGCTTCCCACCAATCAACTGTTCAGCGGGAAGCCGGGGAGGGCTGAGAAGCAGGCGGCAGCTTCCTGCTCAGGCCGAGGGTGATGGAAGTGAGCTGGGGAGCACAGCGGTTAGCCTGTGGGCCCTCCCTGGGTTACCTGCTGCAGCGTGAGCGGTCCTCTTTGGGCCCCCCCCCTTCCCAGCTCACCTCCGCCTCCCTGGGCCTGAGTGGGAAGCTGCGGCCTCCTTCTCAGCCTGCCCCAGCTTCCCGCACGAACAGCTGATTCTCAGGAAGCCTGGGGGGGGCGGAGAAGCAGAGCAGGGCGACGCGTTCAGGGGTGGCGGAGCGGAGGTGAGCTGGGGCCGGGGGTGGGACACGGGGTGGGGGGCTGGGACGGGGAGCTCTGCACCCACCAAATTTTCCACTTCGGTGCTCCAGCCCTGAAGCACCCATGGAATCAGCGCCTAAGGCACCACTTTTGGCCTGTTAAATTTAGAAGCCCTTTTAGAATCGGTTGTCCCTCGCAGAACAACTGGTTCTAAAAGGGCTTCTAAATTTAACAACCAGTTCTAGCGAACCGATGCGAATCGGCTCCAGCTCACCACTGAGTATAACTGCTTTTCAGCAATGAGAAGGTTCATGATGGTGTGTGACAACCAGTAAAGCAAATATATGAACAGTCTCTCTAAAAACACTGAAATTTAATCCAATATGAAGAGTCTAAAATGCATGTATGTTATTCAAAAATGTTATACAACTAGATTAAATATGGTGTAATCAAGGACCCTGGGTGCTGTTTCAGAATCCTTAGCTCTGTTAATAGCACTTAATAATTCTGTTTTCATCTAATTTATGTTTCTATCAACCTCAGAATTCTAAATTATCCTATGAGGGAAATGCAATTTTTTCCTGAAAATTGTTCTTATTTCAGACTGAACTCAAAATAATGTAAAAGAAAATAACTTCTTAGATTTGTCCTGTAAAAAAATTGAATTCCAGATTGAGCTAGATTTTTTTAATAAATCTCTTTTGCCATTTTTAGGGAAAATGTAATATAACAACATTTTCTAGTTTAAGAAATGTTGTTTCTAGCGATGACTCAAAACCAGCTGTAAATTGCCAATAGTCAGTTGACAAGCTCTTGGTCTTTAATATAATGTACATGTAGTTCACCCTGATACTGTGAAAAAAACTCCTAAAACATATTCTCCATGGGCCTGATCCTGCAGTCCTCATTCATGCAGTTTCAAGTCTTGACTCAGCAAGGACTACAAGGTACAGCCTAATATATGCTGTAATTACCGTATATACTCATTCATAAACCGAATCTTTTTGGTAAAAAAGTGACACATCAAAGAGCAGGTGTCGGCTTATAATCATAAAATTTGATGATTTTAAACTCTATGAAATCATTTAATTGAATATCTAATACACTGTCGTTTTGTTTACCTGGAGCGTCTGCAGGCATGGAGCCCCTCAGTTCCCTGTGGCTGCGGTTCACCGTTCCCAGCCAATGGGAGCTGCGGGAAGTGGCGCGCAGTGACTATAATTTTGAAAGTGTAATTTTGAAAGTGATTGTAATTTGAAAGTGGATACATATTTGTTCAGTTATTGTTCAGTCAGGGTAAGCTGCTGGCGGGTTGGGACGTTTTGTTTACTTGGGGCGTCTGTAGGCACAGAGCCCCGCAGCTCCCAGTGGCCGTGGTTTGCTGTTTCCAACCAGTGAGCTTATTCAAAGTGCTAACATTTTTATGTATCTCTTTGTGCTCCCTTTTATTGATCATTTCTTTTCTTCTCTCTTTATTCAATTCTTTTCTTCACTAATTTCTGATACTAACATTACTCTGTTGTGCACATCCCAATGCTCCATAATGATGGATCCCACACAATGCCTTTTGTTGGGTTTTGACCACATGACTCACAGTGAATCTCCATTGGCGTAAGTAGATCCATATTTCCAACTAGTAAAACACAATGAAAGTACAGTGTATGTGTGTTCTTTTAAAAAGGTTCACTTCTTTCATACATCTGGATTTTAGAGGCATTTTATTGTATATGCAAAGTCATACAATACAAATCATATAACTTAAACTGCCATTTAAACGGTCTCATAATTATAAAGTTTCACTGTTGAGCATGTGAAGTCCTGGTAATTTCATAGAAGACACTTAAATGAGATCTGTCAAATGCAGTTCAGAACAAAGAATTTGCCATATTGGATCAGACCACTGGTCCAGCATGCTCCTCCTATATGAGGCCAGTCCCTGATGCTTCTCAGAAAGGAGAGACTGCCCCTTCCAGAAAATCCCAGATAAAATGAGGGAATTCCACTAAGTGCAGAGGGAGATGGGAATTCAATGTATTTTCTAATGGGAGGGGAAAAGGGTGTCGTTTATTTAAATATTCCTTAGTGTTAGAGAATTCTGACATGGTCAGTCTGAATAATGATAGAGGGCCCAAATGATGAACACTAGAATAAAAGTAAATATAACTGTTTAACTGGAAACAAAAGGAAATAAACATCTAGATAAAAACCAGGAGTCAGCCCTTCTGTTGTTTTACATAAGACATAGCACCAGTGAAGTCAGTGGAGCCATGCCAGTTGACATCAAAAGAAGCTTTGTTCCAATTTTTTTTCATTTTATATATGAAATTTTAAATTTTAGAAATTAAATAGTTACTGACATTTATTTTTATGTATCAGGCAGTTTTAGTGAGCTGTTACTTTTTGGAAATATGCCCATGAAATAATCTTCCTCTGTAACCTCAAGTAGAAAGCTGATCTGGAAGCTACACAATATGAACGAGCACTGAAGCCTTTCCTTCATCTTTGGAGAGTGATTTCTGAGGGCTTGTCTACACAGCACGGCAAAGTGCTCTATGGGGGTGTGATTTATAAAGCATTCTAACATGCTGTGCTCTAACTGCCCTGTAGAGACCTTTCTGGCATGCTCTAAAGGTACCTAGTTTGTGTTAACATGGTCCTCTTTCAATCCTATGTTAACACGAACTAGGTACCTTTTAAGTTACATCGACACTACAAGCTAGACATGATTATTCCCCTACTTTTGTGCACGTACATGCACGAGCTCACATCCATTAGTGTAGCCGGGGTAGTAGGGGCGGCAGCAGCAGCCGAGGCACAGTTTAGCTATAAGACTATAACAGGGTTTAAAAGAGAACTGGATACATTCATGGAGGTTAAGTCCATTAATGGCTATTAGCCAGGACGGGTAAGGAATGGTGTCCCTAGCCTCTGTTTGTCAGAGGATGGAGATGGATGGCAGGAGTGAGATCACTAGATCATTACCTGTTAGGTTCACTCCCTCTGGGGTACCTGGCATTGGCCACTGTCGGTAGACAGGATACTGGGCTGGATGGACCTTTGGTCTGACCCAGTATGGCCATTCTTATGTCGAGTACAAATCTACCTGAAACCAGTGGGTACATACTCTGTGTGGCTAAGCTGTGCCTTCACTGCCATTACCTGTGCTCCCACAGCTACACTGCTGTTTATACTTGTGCTAGCTCTATGATACAGAGTGCGAGTATGTGGACACAATGTATTGCATTGAATTGTAGACATATCGTATTGTAGATGTAGCCTTAGGGTATGTCTGCGCTGCAATTAGACACCTGTGGCTGGCCCATACCAGCTGACTCGGGCTAAGGGTCTGTTTAATTGTGGTGTAGATGTTCAGCTGCAGCCTGAGCTCTGGGACCCTCCCACCTTGATGGTCCTAGATCTCTGGCTCCAACCTGAGCCCAAACGTCTACACAGCAATTAAACAGTCCTGCAAGCCCAAGTCAGCTGGCACAGGCCAGCTGTGGGTTTTTAATTGTGGTAGACATATTGTTAGAGCACTCCAGCAAAGTCTACTCGGGACAGTTGGGTGCTTTACAAATTACACCCCTGTAGACTGCTTTGCCATGCTGTGTAGACAAGCCTTCAGTCTAATATTAATCTGGATCAGAGTAGTGCTTCTATCCTGTGCGTTCTCAGACTCGACTCTTTAAATATGCTTTGCTCAGTGCTACAGCCTGTTGGCACACCTTTCTTTTTATGACCTTCCGAACTTCTTACTTAGTGAATGATAGATTCTCCCCAGTAGATTATATGCTATGCTTTTAAATTTAGGCATTAAAGCAAACCTTCTACTCTTCTCTCTGATCAGATCATCTCAAAAGTAAAAGCCTGGCCAGTGATTGGATTATATTCATTTGATCATATCATTGGCTTGATCCTTCAGGGTGCTGCGTGTGCCTTCTGTGATATGTAGACTATTCTGAACTCCAGCTTACTATAGTGGAGTTGAGGCTATTCGTCACCTTGGTTGTTCAAGCCTGAACTAAGCATTTTGCTGCTAAATATGAAAATAACTATATAAGTAGTAGTCTTACTGGTAGCCAAATTCTCCTTTAGTCCTCCTTTAGATTCAGTTCTCTGCAGAGAATTTGGCCCCATATATGTAAAAGAGTAAGAAGATGCAGACTTCAGATCTCAAGAGTGTAGGTTCAGCTTGAGAAATAATACAATAGGCAATTTCTGCTATATGAAGTCCTTGAAGCACTGTGTACATGTGTGTAGCAATGAATAATAATAAAAATATAAACTCAGTGCCTGGGGCCAATTTCTGATATAATCATTTCTGTCAATGGTGTTAAAGCTGGGGTAAGTAAGGTCATCAGGTCCATGTTGTTTGAAGTAAGAAAATCATTCAAACATACCAAATCAATTTATTTATACTGGAATTATTCAAACCCGCATGCCAGGACATCAAGGTAGCAGAGTGAGAATGCCCTGTCTGTGTGTCCTTTTTTATCATTCCTGTCATTGTATTATAACTCATAACATACCAAGAACCAAGAGTTGGTGCCCATAAGATCACGTACTCATGTGTTTCATGTACATTTCAGTCAAACCTCTTTTACGAGTCATTAAGGATTTTTGGCCAAATTTGCTGCAGATGTAAGCAGACATAATTTCAGTGACTTCAGCAGAGTTGCACCCAGCTAAGACCGGCACTTGAAATTAACCCTTTGAGTGTATAAACTGAATTAAGCAACAATAACAGACTCTAGATTTTCTTTATAACAAACAAAAATGGATGGCTATTTTACAATTCCTTATAAGTCTTTGATAATTTCTGTAATTGCTTTTGTTATTAATTGGAATCAAAATGCCATCCATTCAGTATTTATATGGATCAAATACACTCCTTCATAGAAATTCAACTGTATTTTTACATCAAGGGTCAAATCCTGAAGCCCTTACTTAGCTTTTACTCAACCTTTTGTTACCTGAGTAAGAACTGAGTTAAAATTAAGTAGATTTTAGTATATGGCCCACTTGTTGAGCTATAGTTTATAATAAATAGAAAGTCACAGACTCTTTACTCCTTATTCAAAGAGGTTTGATTGTCTATAGAGCTTATATTGGTGCAAATTAATTTTGCTGTGAATGCATGACCCACCTAATGATGGGAACAAAGGTATAATTTTCTATTCAATCATAGCAAAATGCCCTGAATTATTTGGGCAGATTTTTTTGTGTGCACACACACGCTAGGAAAACAAACTTTAAAATGAAGAAAGGGCATAGTAGTAACCCCCCACCCCCCATTATCAAGTTTTCTGAAAGAGTCAGGTGCCCCATCTAAGCTTTTGGAAAGACCATAACCAGCCACAGTGTTGCTCTGGATTATACACTGCCATTCCTACTGGTTCATATATCCCAATACTTATTTGTGGTATAATTATGATTCAAACAAAGATAAAGGCCTATTGCATTAAAGGCATAATTGGAAATGTTCCAATATGTTTTGCTCAACTAGATAACCTAGTTTGACTTAGAGTGAGGCACTTCATTCAGTGAGGGAAGGTTAATTTACCAGAATCCATTTCCTGTCTTTATTGTCTGCCATAAAGATATTAATATACCCTGATACATGTTTCTATTCTGAAATCTCAGACTCAATCTCTACAGCTGCACAGCCACATGTGAGCTATTGGGCATTTTTATATTTATAGTTTTAATCAAATTTTTTTCTGTAAGTCCATCATAATACAAGAACAAAGCAGTGTAAGTAGAGGATTTAACAAAATGAACTTGTCTATCTGTCCATGACCCAAATGCTAGTACTGTCACAGTAACACATAGCTGATCGTTGAAGTCAGCAGTACCATCCATCCACTGGGTTTTATTATCCAGTGTCCATCATTCTGCAGCAGTGAAATTTGCCATCAAACACAGCAGTGTTTTAATCTCCTGCAGGATCAAAATGTAAGTCTGGGGATATAAAGTTAATCAGTTGTTAGCCAGTAATAGGCAGCCAGTCATCCATTACAGTAAAAAAAGCAAAAGATGCTGCTTACTCAATAGAAAAATGAACGTATGAAGTGTAGTTGGAAACATGAAAATTTTACCACCGAATTGGAAACCTTTACTAAATCATTTGCTGTGAGGGACAAAATGTTATTTATATTTTTTATTTTCATGCTTCTCATGGAGAGTAGTTTGAGGGGTGAGACATGAAAATTGAATGACTGTAATGTAGGCTTCATTTCTTTCCTTTCTATTCACGTTACAAAATTTCTTCATTAGCCCTCATACTAAGGATGTTTCTGATACAAGGCTTAATTCACTAGTGCCTCAGTGGAAGGGGAAATTTATACCTCCTTGCATTAGCAAGGCCTGCTGTTCCACATGGAAGATTCAGTTAAGGGAGGCTAATGCTGTCCCTCCCCATCTTCCCTCAGGGTCTCCAGGGGGATGGGATGAGAGAGGGATGCAGCTTTAGTTTACAGCTGGAGCCACACAGGAACTTTGCTGGTGAAGACTTCAGAGGGATGTTCAGAATCAGTGCTACCTTTGCGAGACAAGCTAGTCCCCCAATGTTCCCACACCTGTCAGCACTTAGATACCATGGTGATGGGTACTATAGAAAGACATAAGGTAGACACCAAAAGTGAGGCGTTAGCTTCTTTCTGTTCCTGCACTCTTCCAACGGGGCAGACGTTCCATCTCACTTCTGTGCACTGTGGCAGGGTTTACCCTGGTAGAAGCCATTTTATGGGCATAATCTAATTTATGGTCCAACAGTGAAAAATTAGTCCATTATGTTAAGAATGTTCCCCTTTTGTGTAAGAAGTGCAAAAGAATGGGAAATTAAGCTTAGTGTACTGCTTCCTAGCATTCTGTCGGATTCTCAGGAAAGCTGGAAGGTAGCATATCCTGGGGAGGGCGGGAGGAAGGAACAGCTGCAAATACCCCCTTTAGAGATGAGTCCATAGGGGATGATATACACTATAGTGCTCTTTCAGACTGGCTTATGTAGGGAATAGGGATACATGGCATATTTAAATACAGTATTTCCAAGCCCCTTGTCAGGGTGGTTGAGCACTGGAATAAATTGCCTCGGGAGGTTGTGGAATCTCCATCACTGGAGATTTTTAAGAGCAGGTTAGACAAACACCTGTCAGGGATGGTCAAGATAATACTTAGTCCTGCCATGAGTGCAGGGGACTGGACTAGATGACCTCTCAAGGTCCCTTCCAGTCCTACGATTCTGTGATTTCTATTCTGACATGAAACACACACATCCCCATGCTTTTTCCTGTGGCAAATTATATTATTGTCTGCACAGTGTCGTATCAGTTACTTTGGCTTTTCCCTGACTCCTCTCACATTGTCAAACCACACCCCCATTTTTGCTTTTTGTGGGTCTTCTCTAGAGAATTGTATCTTGCCAAGTAGGAAGTTTGGGCAACTGCCTGGGCTTTAGAGGAAGGTTTTATAGCAGGTGGCTGCTCTGATTCCTTGCCCTTTATGGCAGGGAGCTCATTGGACAATATGGCCCTTAATTTTTAAAATAGCTATTTCTCAATTTTCATGACATCGAGCATGCCACTTCCAAAGCTCTGTAAGGCATGGATCATACAGTTACAATGTAAATCACTCACTTCAGAAATAATCTTGTATTTAGAGGAGTCCTGGACCCAAGGTATGACATGACTGCACACATCACCATCAATGTATGTATCTGCAGCTCTATTAATATTTAATTTAACTGCACACTATGCAAAAGTTATTTTGATGGGAAAAAACTATTAAATGACCATGTCTACTTCCAGCTTGCGTCATAAATCAAATTAGAGGTTAACTCAATTGGTGTTGTAGGGTGTCTCATGAACTTTTGTAGTTTGGGCTCTAGGTATGCAAAACTGAATGGTTCTTCCTATACAGTCTGTGCAAGGTCATCAGAGGGATCATAAACATTAGGTATAGTTTAATAGTGAAGGTTTGAAATATGAAATAACTAGAGAAGTGTCTGAGCTTTGAGTTCGAATCCAGATTTTCTAATGTTCTGAAGTGTTTGGATTCAACGTTTTGGTACCAGCCTAACTCTGGAAAGAATTAAAAAAACTGTACTAAATTAACTTTTTAATATCAAAATATATTTTCTCCTTTTCGGTGTAACCTTAAAATAGTCCAGTTCCACAACTGCAATAATATACTCTAGGGTCAGTTAATTAGCTCCACAACATGAGGCATTCACTATGCACAATTATAGGGGTAACAATACTCAAGTGGTCCAGTAATCTTGACTTGCTGACCATCCTTTATTGCTTTATATTGATATATTACTGCCATAATTTTGTGGCTGTGTTGGCTTAGGGGTCATGGACAGACCAGTAAACATATTGGTTTGAATAATAATAATATGCAATGTTAAAGACAAAGTGAACTGAAATGTTCTCGATTCACATGTTTTTGATCTACTGTAATTTGTTTATTTCTTAGGCAAGTGGTTTTTTTCAAAAACAATGTTTTTGGTTTTTGTTGTTGGTTGTTTTGGAATAGAAACTGCAACATGAGGTAGGGTAGGGGGGCAAACCCAGTATGTGCTGTTTTATAATGCGCCCTTTTCTGCATTGCAGTAGCCTTCCTGTTAAAGATCCTCACATTGACAGTGCCTCTCCAGTGTATCAGGCTGTGCTTAAAACTCAGAACAAGTCTGAGGATGAGCTTGATGACTGGACTCGCCGTTCTGCCAATCTGCAGTCCAAGTCTTTCCGCATCCTCGCCCAGATGACGGGAACGGAGTACAGTAAGTCAAACAATGAAGCCCCAAATTTGTTTTAAGATTAATTTTATTTTTCTTTCCTCTTTTATACACTAGCTGTTGAGTCTAAAAGATGACTCCCTTCCTTCAGTAAAGCTCCCCAATGTGGGTTAAACTCACAAAGCTCTAAATCTAGTTCAAAGGGGATTAGCAAACCTAAATGCTAACTGTCACATTGTTTCCTATAAAGGAAATATTTGATCAGCCATGAGTACTATTCTTATTTTATTGTGGTGAGTGCTAATAATAGTCATTAACTAAACAAGATCCTAGAATGTCTTGGGCTAGTGTAGGTTCCCCACCCCCCAACAATCTAATGCAGGGGTTCTCAAATTTCATTGCACCACGACCACCTTCTGACAACAAAAATTACTACATGACCCCAGGAGGGGGACCAAAGCCTCAGCCACACACCCCCCGCCGAGTGCAGCTGCCCCAGGTGGGGGGCGGGGAGGGCAAAGTCCAAGCCCTCTGGCAGGGGGGTCCAATGTCAAAGTCCAAGGGCTTCAGCTCCAGGCAGGGGGCCTGTACTCTCTGCCCTGCAAGCCCGGGCTGAAGCCCTCGGGCTTCCACTTCGGCCCCAGGCGGTGGGGCTTGGGCTTTAGCCCTGGATCTCAGCAAGTATAACGCCAGCCCCAGCAATCCCATTAAAATGGGGTCCTGACCCACAGTCTGAGAACTGCTGATCTAATGTAATTAGTATAATCAAGTAGGAATTCTCACTTCTCAGGGGGCTAGGTTTACAAAACTGCTAATTCATTTGAAAGGCAATGATCATCTTAGCATCTGTTGTAATATACTTTTACACAGTGGGCACACTGAAATCAGAAAATGGAAACTCATTTGCACCGTACCTATGATTTTCTAGCAGCCATGTTACCTAGACACTAGACCCTGACCCAAGTCCACAGATGACACAGGAGGTTGAGGTTCTGTGTTTATTGCCCATGCAATTCTTTTTTCTGACCATCGGACACCAACTTCACATCTTATTCCTAATTTAGATAGCAGGGAGTTTGGGGGATTTCATGACTACTCTCATTCCATCATTGGGAGACAGGCACCATTTACCCAGTGTTTCCCCCGCATGACCTCTACGTGTGAAGCTGCCACTTTTCCAGGCTCTTCCCAAGGAGCAGAAAGCCCGCTCTGGGTCCTTGTGCACAACCAAGACAAACTATGAATCAGCTGTTGGTAGGTGGCTGAGAAAGTAGTACAACTGCAACCTCTTACCACTGCCCCACTTTCTAACCCTATAAATTCCACGGAAGCCAGAGTTGCTCTTGCTCGCTTTATATCTCTGTGTGACCTAATGGTGGAAAGCTGCCATGCTTATCCCCTTAGATGTCATTTTCTTTTATGCTTTTCTGGTAACTTGGGGTTGGATTGTGGGCCTCATCTAGTAGGTTTTTTTAACAGAATCATTTTCTCTTCTGCAGTGCAAGACCCGGATGAAGAAGCCCTGAGGAGATCAAGGTAGGCAACTAGCAGCAGGCATTATGGCCTTCTTCTTACTGATAACCACTACCTAATGCTCTAAAATGGCTTTAATATGAAAATACAAAACTAGATTTTTTTTCTTAAATATTCTAACACATTTACTCAACAATCACTAAAATGAAAATGCTGTTGGCTTAGAAATCTGCAAGAAGTGCTCGATTGAAAGGGTAACAATGTGACAGTTAGGTGTAATACAGTACAAAATCCTGGAACGAGTACTCAGTCTTGCAAGCTCTTTGCACATGGAATTCCCATTGACTTCAGTGGGAGTGCTGTTTGTGCTGGGCTCATAGGATCAGGCCCTATGTGACTGCATTCAATTCTGTAACTAGATGAAAATATATGATATTGTGGTAGTGTTGAAATTTAATGTGCAATTTATTTGGATGATCCTGTGATTGGCACTTGATTCAGCTGACATGATATAGTAATGTAGTTGTTTCCAATTACAGACATGGAATAATCATCACCTGAATATATTTTATGTGAAACAGAAAAAAATTATATTTTTTTTAGATAATACACAGTATGAGGATACAGGACTGCTTTTGCTACTGGAGAAAAGTACATATCCATTTTCAAATGTTCTGCCAGTAAGGATTTTACACATTCCTAGACTCATAAAGGCCTAAACTGTAAGGCTATTACGAACAGTTATGATCATCTGGTCTGACTTCTGCATAACACAAGCCATAGATTTTACCCAGAGATTTCTGCATCTAGTTCAGCAACTTGTGAATGAACTAGAGTGTATGGGGTTCTAGCCTGATGTATTCTATTTACATATTCCACATCCGTATCTTGCCAAAAATGTTTTAAACAGATTGTTTGGTTTGTGATCTGTCTGGTATTTTGCCCACCCAGTGTTTAACTTGTGTTATTACGAAATGGTTTATATGCAAGGTTTTGGACTTTTGATTCTTCTGCACCTAATGTAGGGTTACAAATGATGAGTCGATGAGCAAAACAGGAACGTTTTTACTTACAATATGAAAATACAAATCCAAGGGATATATTTTCAACCGGATGTATTTCCTATCCGGGTTCCACAACAGTTCATTGAAAGTTGCATAGCTAGATACCTCCATATCAGTCTGAGACTGTGCCACCCTTGCACTAAATTCTGTCTTCAAATGTGCAAACACAATTCCTGTGGATTTCATTGTAAGTCTCGATTCAGCAAGTATGTACTGAAGTTCTGTTAACTTCAGTGGAACTTAAAACAAATCCTGCAGTATCCAAACAAACACTATGTACAGGAAGGACCTTCACTAGTACTAAATTCTGTCTGCTGATTCAGGGGCCTGGCTCCCATACATCTGTTTGTGGGCAGAATTTAGCCAGCCCTTCATGAGCTTTAGCTGTGGTCCATAAATAGAAGATGCATATTGAAAGGCCTGGGTGTTGAAAAAAACACTTGGAATTGGATAGATTTTAAAAGAATAATTGGTTAATAACACATAAGTGTTTGTACTGTAAATTGCACTTCTTATTTGATGTAATTTAAAGTACATGATATTATCCTTTGTGTATTTTATGTTGTCAGCATTGTGCACTTCTGATGTATCATTTTCCATTATCTTTTTTTAATAAGGAAGTGTTAATGACACTGAATATAAGTCACTGGGGAATGTTATACAAAGACTTTTAAAGGTGTGCTTGTCCTTCTAACCAATGCTGAAGGGAATGTTATTTGGACAGTTACGCACACATTCTTCCTATCCCCATCCCCCACCTCCACCCCCATGCTTCTCTCTGCTTTTATATGCAGAGAACAACCTGTGTCCAAAGATCTAGTTTTGGAAGGCATGGAAGGAGGGAGTGACATATCTATAGCATGCTGCCGTCTTCTTCCGCCCTCTTACCCAATACAGCAGAAACCCCTCCACAGAGTCCTAGTTTCAAAAGGTCAGAAGGTATAAACGGGTGTGCATTATGCTAAGCTCCACCCCCAGGCTCCCAGCAGCATAAATTACTGTAGACAGAGCCTGCAAAATTATACATTGTTACTCTTCCATGGTTTGAAATCCACAGTGGGGGTTTCTGGGGCAGCCAAAGGAGGGGATCTCCTGGAGGTACAAATCCTGCAGGAGTTCTTGCTGTTTTTTAGAGATCCATTGGTTTGAGCTCTATATCAGACTGTCAGATGCCATCCCTTATGGAAAAGTTTCATGTACACGCAAGTTAAACTGTCAGAATTCTCATGTAATGGAGAATTTTGGTCCAAAGTCATGCCTGCCAAGAGTGCTCTCTTCTCTCTTGTGCTTTTCCTCTGTTCTCTGTGTATCAACTTTGTTCAGTGTGAACAATAATAAGGATTGACTCAAACTTAGTGGCAGCTCCATGTCTACTTTTTTCTTTTAGACATTTTCAAAGAAGGAAAACACAAGTAACTTTCCTATATGGGGGACCTCTTTTTAATACAAGTGTTCATCCCTAGACTTGGTGCCTATTGTCATACATACTGGCATGTACTTTGAACAGAGCCCATAATATGCAGGAATTTTCTGATGGCAAAATGCCTGTTTCACTTCATATTAATAAGTGTGTTTTATGGCTCTTTTGTTCAAGTTATACTGGCAGCCACACAGGCACATGTGGTAGTAGATGAAAGGCACTTTTTGAGGTACTTTTGATGTAAGATTACCATTTGTTATGAAACCTTTCCTTTACATTGGGATTGTAATGAATGTTTTGTTGAAAATTTGATAAGTAATTTGTCTATCGCCAGTAAAACAGACATCTCTTGAACTAATACCTTTCCGTACATGGAGATGGAGGGATATATCTTCAAAACATTGAGAGATTTCTTAAACTTCATGATTCCTATTAAATCCAGTTGAACTTACATAGCTACCACCCTGTACATTGCTTTGAAAAAATACCTCTCAAAGTTGCAGCATCACAGCTAGAGGTATTCTGAATCATTTTATTTTTATAAGCATAAAGTAGCATTTGAGAAATCATACATCAACAGTCCCTTAGAAGTGTTATTTGTATCATATTATGCTGTTAGAAACTGAAAAATTAAAAAAGTTAAAGTACTTGTCACCATTTACAGTACTCTGTTGTTGTTTTTTTTGTTTGTTTGTTTTTTGTGCTTTGTAAAGCTTGGAAAGTGAAACTACCCTGGTCTGTTTATTTTCTGTTTCTCTAATCAGTTTCACTCTCTGGCTCTCCTGCATTAATACAGTGGTTTTGTGTTTGGATATCAGCCATTCAGGAGAAATGAACTTGTCTGCTTTGAAACAAACACATGCACAAATCAAGTGAACATTTTAATTTCCATTAGGGTTTGTAAAGTTCTCTTCTCTGCTCCTCCACCCCCCCTTGTTTATATTTTTAACTTAAAAAACCTGGGGCCTAAACCAGAGTACAGTATCCAGAAAAGGTCCAATCCTGAAAGAAGTAGAACACCACCTGTGAGGTGCTGAGTGCCCTTCTGTCCTATTGAAGTTGATGGAAGTTGAGAATGCTTAGATATTGGAAGGAGGTGATCAGCACTGTACAGATTCTGCCTCTGTGTTGTTCTGTTTTTAACTCAAATGACTGGAGATACTTATTTAAATACCACATTTGAAGGATTTCAGGTTCTCGTTGCCTAATCTCTAACAAAAGCAAAAAAGCTATGAGGAAACATCGCTCAAATTTGCAGCTTTTGGTCCTTATGAGAAAAGATATAGGCTGACCTAGATATTACAGGATAGGAAATGTTTGCAATGATTTTGTCTTGTACAATGTTGACTTTCACTTCCTGCTCAGCTGGAAAAAAAGCTGAGAGTCTGCTGGCAGGAAAACAGTAGAATTATGCTGAGAATTTCTAGCAAAAGCAGCCCTGTCAAACAAAACCAAAACCAAGGAATACAAATTTGTGTTACATTACAGCTCAAAATTACAAATCTAAAAAGCTTTCCAAATTTCTCTGGAAAAGGATCACCCAGCCTAGTTTGCCTTTATTTTGGGAGGTAACATAAATCCAAATAAATTGCCATTGCCCTAGTTATAAAGCAGGGGAGTGGTGGCTACATTCCCTAACCCCTTTCTTTCTTCCTTCTTCTCTCTCTCTGTCTTTTTCTTTCTCTCTCTCTTTCTCCATGCCACAGGGAAAGGTTTGAAACGGAACGTAACAGCCCACGCTTTGCCAAATTGCGCAACTGGCATCACGGCCTATCGGCGCAAATCCTTAATGTTAAAAGTTAAAAACCCATGTGTAACAAATAAATGTGGAAGATATAAAATTACACTAAAGAATTAACTGCTTTACTGAGTTAGAACCTAGGGGTATCATATATATACACAGTACAGACATAAGATAGGGGGTTTTCTCTGAGTGCCTGCCTTTATTGTTTTCTGTTGCTAGCCCAATATTTCGCCACTATCACACACCCAAAAAAAAAAAAACCCAACAAAAAAAATCAGACCTACAAATGATCATCATTGTAAAGGGGATTTTTTTTTTGCCTTCTGATAAATTATAACTTTAAAGTATTGATGGGGGAAAGATGTAGCCATTATACTTTATTTAAATACAGAGAGAAACAAGACAGAAATGATTGTCAGTTTTTCTTGGGGGTTGAGGGGAGATATACTTTTCCAGGAAGTGTTTGTTACTGCTGTAAGAAAGTCAAACTGGAGCTAGATAGTTGGGAAGGAAAACATACTAAGCCGAGCCGAAAGGTTCTAAATACGTAGTCCTTTTAATTTATTTCAATATTTAAAAAATGTTTCAGATAAGACCCTAGATGTGATAAGTTTATTTTTCTTGGATGTGCTATATTGTTAAGAGTCACTGCTGGCAACATTGCTTATAGTTTTCCCTTTGAAACCAGAATTTGTCTTGGGGAGAAAGATAGAGGTAGAATGTGGCAGCTGTTAGACTGTGAAGAAAAGGGGACTATGTGACACTTTGTTAGAGATGGTTTAGAAGTAAAAAGAATATATGAGACAATTCATGTACTGAGTTTTTAAAAGCATGT